ACCTGAGCAACTGAAAAAGAAAATGGAGTTGCCATTTATAGAGTTAAGGAAGAGTGGAGGTGGAGGATAGAAATAGGAAAATAGGAGTTCAGATTGGGAAACATTATATATGAGATACCTACTGGGCGTCCAAATGGAAATGTCCAGTGGGCAATTGGAATACGAATCTGGAATTCAAAGGAGAGGCTGCAGTTAGAGAGATACATTTAAGAGCTGTTCGCGTATATATGGTATTTAAAGCATGGAACTGGATAAGATCACTAGAAAGTGGGCTTAGCTAAAGGACGGAGAGACCTGAGGTCAAGAGAATTCTAGTAAGAGAGTTCTGGAAGATACCATAAGAGAAGACTGAAAAGAAGAACTGAGAGAATAGAAGGAACACAGTGCTGGTATGGTTGCCAAGTGAAGAAAATGATTCAAAAAGGAAGAAGTGATCATCTGTGTCACACGCTGCTTAGAGGACAAGTAAGATGAGGATTGGGTTCAGCAATGAGGAGGTCATTGGTGATCATGACAAAAGCGGTTTTCAAAGAGGTGTTGGAAAGAAAATCTCATTAGTGTGGTTGTGAAAGAATAGAAGAAAGGGAAATACAGACAGTGAGTATCAACATGATTTTGAAAATTTTTGTTTTAATGGGAGCATAAAAATTAGGTGATAGCTAGGGGGAAATGTGATACACAGGAGAGTTGTTTTTTAAGATGTCATGTATTACAGCAGATCTGATGTTGGTGGGACCATTCCTGTAGAGATAAAAATAGACCATGAGGGAAGGGAGGGAGCAGTTTTTACTGTTATTTTACTGATTCATTGTCATTGCGGCTAATTATTATTGTTACTACACGAGAACTGATCTGTAAAATTCATATCCAAAAGCTTTATAAATCCCTCAGTTATAGCCAATATTTACTGTTTACTCTATGACTGGGACTATTTCAAACACTTCCAATTATCATTATCTTGCTTAATCCTCTCTGCGCCTCTATTATTACCCCCATTTAATGTATGAGAACACATAAGCTTAGCAGAGTGAAGAATTGTGCAGTCAGTTGAAGCCAGGGTTCAAACCCAAACCCAAGTTTGGCTGCCTTCAGGGTAGGCTCTTTAATCTTTGCTAAAGGACCTCTACTCAACTGCTTACTGTGCTTCACTCAGGAAGCTTATTAGACTTTTTGTGGAGATTTCAACAGTTAACTTCCTACTTATTCCTAAGTCAACCAGAAATTTTATATCTTAGTGAAGGTGTGACCTTACACAGATTTCCCACTGCATATAGCTTACTTTTCACTTAAACATAACTCTAAATCTGAAATCTCTGTGAATGCCCTGGACATTGTGTAAATGAAAGGGTCATTTAAGGACAGCAAGGAGAAAGGACCCCTCTTCTTATGGGGGTCTTTGAGACCAGCGTTTGAGGGAAATATTAAAAGATCTTCTACCAAGTTTTGTGGCCTTGGGCAGATTAGTATTTATTTGTCCCAGTTTTCTTCTCAGTAAAATGGAGATACTGTGTACTTTGCAGGATTATGGCAAAGATTGCATACATATGAGGAATAATGTGTGTAAATTGTTTAGCGTGGTGCTTCGCACAGAGTGGGTAAGCACTTAATCATGCTCACTATTGCTTTTCTTCTCTCAGTAGCTTGGAAAAGGCAGTTCTTCATTTCCAACTGAATTCCAAGGAGTTTTCTGAAATTATAGGGCCAAGGGAATTGCTTAATTGGAAGAAAATATTTGAGGGATTGAACAGGAAACTATATTTAGAATGCTGAGTTGTAAAGAGACTGTCTCATGCTCCAGTTCTACTCAACCCAGTTTCAGCTGGGCACCACATGAAGCATGTCCTTCTCACTACAAGGGTAACTCACCTAGACAGCTGGTTCAGTTTATCTTATAAAATCAACATCTTCCTGAAGCAAACATTTTGGAATTGTGCTATATTGTCAGTGACCTAATCCCAGTGTTTTCTTTTTTAACTTCCTGTATCAGTAGACTTCTTTTAAATACAGTTTTACACAGAATCTCAAAATATGAAATAAACAAAGGCAAACTGCTTGGATTGAAGCAAGGTTCAGCTTCTTCCTCAGCAGTTTCTCCTTCCCACCTCAAGTGGTTCCTAAAGCACAGGAATTAAACTTTAGAATTCTACAGGACCTAGTTTGAAAATCACTGGCATAAATGAACCTGGTACTAAATATATCGATAAATATATTTAGCATCAATAAATATATTTTTCAGTAGTATTTATTAATTATATACTATATTCCAGGCACTGTGGTGAGTGGTGATAAGGAGACTGGTGAGTACATCAGGCTCAGCCTCAAACTATATAGACTTTAACTATAGGGAAATTTATTGTATCAAATGACTACAAATCCAGAACTGGAATGGCTATGGAAGGTAGTACAATAGCTCCCTAAAGGTGTCCATGTCCTAATTCCTGAAACTGGTGAATATATTACATGGCAAAGGGAAATTTAATTTGCTAATCAGCTGAACTTAAAATAGGGTGATTATCTTAGGTTGTTTAGGTGGGTCTGATATAATCACAGGAGTAAAAGAAGGAGGCAAAAGAGGGGTCAGAGACAGAGACAGAAACATGATGATGAAGCAAAAGTCACAGTGATTCAATGTAAGAAGGACTCAACCTACCACTTCTGTCTCTGAAGATGGAAGAAGGCCATGAGTTATGAAATGTGGGTGGTTTCTTGACTCCTGAAAAAATAAGGAAATGGATTCTTCCCTAGAGTTTTCAGAAAAAAAATGCAGTCCTGCTGGAACCTTGGTTTTATGTCAGAGAAACCCATTGTGGAACTCTGTCCTCTAGAACTATAAGATAATAAATTTGTTTTTGTTTAAGCCACCAAATTTGTAATAATTTGTTACAGCAGCAATAGAAAATGAAGTAACCTTCAGTGTGTTAATTAAGCAACCCAAAAAGTCATGAAAGGCATAAAGATAGACATATAGATCAATAGAATGGAACTGAGATTACATAAGCAAACCCATATATTTATGGCCAGTTGATTTTTGACCTGAGTACCAAGGCCATTCAATGAGGAAAGAATTTTCTCTTCAACAGAGGTGCTAGCACAACTGGATTTCTATATGCAGAGGATTGAGTTGGATCTCTACCTCACATCATATACAAAAATTAATTTAAATTGGGTCAACAACCTAAATATAAGAGCTAAAGCCATAAAACTTTTAGAAGACAACATAGGGGCAGTCTTCATGACCTTGGATTTGGCAATAAATTCTTAGATATGACACCAAAAGCAAGAATAACAAGAAGAATAAATAGATAAACTGGACCACATCAAAATTAAAAACTTTTGTACATCGAAGGACATTGTTAAGAAATTGAAAAGACAATCTACAAAATATTTGTAAATCATATCTGTGATAAAATTCTATATCCAGAATATATAAAGAGATACTACAACTCAACAACACAACCTAATTAAAATATGAGCAAGGATTTGAATGGACATTTCTCTAAAGAAGAAATACAAATGACCAATAGGTACATGAAAAAACACTCAACATCATTAGGAATTAGGGAAATACCAACATCATTAGGAATTAGGGAAATTCATACCAAAACTACAATGAGATACACTTTATATCTACTGGGAGGACTATAATAATATAATTCTTAAAGAAAATAGTTAATATTGGCAAGGACGTAGAGAAATTGGAATCTTCTTATGTTGCTGGGGGAATGTAAAATGCAGCCCCTGTAGTAAAGTTTGGCAGTTCCTCCAAAAGTTTGACAGAATTACCATAAGCCAGCAATTCTGCTCCTAAGTATATAACCAGAAGAATAGAAAGCAGGGACTCAGATACTTTGTATGTAATATCCATTGCAGCATTACTAATAATAGCCAAAAGGTGCAAATAATCCAAGTGTTCATCGACAGATGAGTGGATAAACAAATGTTGTATAGATGTACAATGGAATACTATTCAGCAATGAAAAAGGAATAAAATTCTGAAGTTTTTAATATAAATATTTATTAAGCTGAAATTTTCACAGTATTTTCATTCTTTTCTGAAATTAATCTACAAATAGCTCTACATAACACCAAAGCCAGTAATTTAATAAATAAGAGGAATGTATCACTTTGCAAAAAAAAGAAGCCTATACATTTATGTCTCTATATGATATTTGTAGAATCAGTTTCCCAAGGTTCATGGGAACTGAAGTGTACACACACCACATACACATACTACCCTTCATTACAGATGTACCTTGGAGATAATGCAGATTCAATTCCAGACCACCACAATAAAGTTAGTATTGCAAAGGAGTGAGTCAAATTATTTTTTTGGTTTCCAAGTGCATACAAAAATTATTTTTTTACCATATTATAGTTCATTAAGTGTGCAAAAGCATTATGTCTAAAAAAACTATGCATATACCTGAATTAGAAAATACTTTATTGCTAAAAAATGCTAACTATCATCTGAATTTTCAGTGAGTCATAATCTTTTTGTTGGTGGAGGGTCTTGCTTCAGTGTTGATGGTTGCTGAATGACCAGGATGTGGTTGTTGAAGGTTGAGGTGGCTGCAGCAATTTCCTGAAATAAGACAACAATGAAGTTTGCCACATTGATTGACTCTATCTTTTACAAATGATTTCTCTCTGGCATGTGATGCTATTTGATAGCATTTTACCCACAGTAGAACTTCTTTGAAAACTGGAGTCAATCCTCCCAAACCTCGCCATTGTTCTATCAACTAAGTTTATGCAATATTCTGAATCCTTTGTTGTCATTTCAACAATCTTCACAGAATCTTCATCAGTAGATTTCATCTCAAGAAACCACTTTCTTTGCTCATCCATAAGAAGAAACTCCTCATTTTTATCATGAGATTGCAGCAATTCAAACATAATAATAATGAAAAAGTTTGAAATATTGTGAGAATTATCAAAGTGTGACACAGAGACACAAAGTGAGCAAATGCTGTTAGAAAAATGGTGCCGGCTTCCGCACCTCCTTCGCCTTGATGCCCGGGCCGCCAGCCATGGCCACCGCGCCGCTCTCACAAGTGCGCCAGAACTACCACCCCGACTGCGAGGCCACCATCAACAGCCAGATCAACCTGGAGCTCTACGCCTCCTACGTGTACCTGTCCATGGCCTTCTACTTCGACCGCGACGACGTGGCCTTGAAGAACTTCGCCCAGTTCTTCCTGCGCCAGTCCCGCGAGGAGACCGAGCATGCCGAGAAGCTGATGCAGCTGCAGAACCAGCGCGGCGGCCGCATCCGCCTCCGCGACATCAAGAAGCCAGACCGCGACGACTGGGAGAGCGGCCTGAAGGCCATGGAGTGCGCCCTGCACCTGGAGAAGAGCGTGAACCAGTGCCTGCTCGACCTGCACCAGCTGGCCACCGACAAGAACGACGCCCACCTGTGCGACTTCCTGGAGAGCCACTACCTGCACGAGCAAGTCAAGTCCATCAAAGAGCTGGGGGGCTATGTCACCAACCTGCGCAAGATGCGGGCTCCCGAAGACGGCATGGCAGAGTACCTCTTTGACAAGCTCACCCTGGGCGACAGCGACAAAAAGAACTGAGTTGGGACTGTTTCCCCTATAGCCCAGGGTGCATGGTGACTTTCCCTGATCACCATGCCGAGCATGCATATTGCAGCATTGCCTTTGCAAAACGTTCCAGTTTTTTTCTTCCAGTTTTGCCATAAATAAAATTGTTTGGTTTCAATAAAGTTATTTGGCTCTTAAAAAAAAAAAAAAAGAAAAGAAAAATGGTGCCAATAGACTTGCTTGACACAGGGTTGCCACCAACTTTCAATTTGTAAAAAAATGCAATTATCTATGAAGTTCAATAAAGCCAAATGCAATAAAATAAGGTGTCCATGTATATTCAAATCAAATGGATTTATATTAAGTATCAAGATAAATGCTGTGTAAAATTTATAACCATATACAGAAAATATGAATTGAATCATGAGTACACTGTTGATAATGGGTACCATACTTCAAAAACCTTCGACCTTGAAAACATTATGCCAAATGAAATAAACCAGACACAAAAGAACAAATATTATGTGATTCCACTTAATTTGAAATATCTGGAATAGGCAAATTTATCAAGACAGAAAGTAGATTAGAGGTCACAGGGGCAGGGGAGACCGGGGAATGGGAGCAATTGCTGAATGTTGCAAAGTCCCTGTTTGGGGTGATGAAAAAGTTTTGGAAATAGTGGTGATGGTGGCACAAAATCGTGAATATAATTAATGTCACTGAATTATACACTTAAGAACGGTTAAAATGACCAATTTTGTGTTACATGTATTTTACCACAATAAAAAAAAAAAGTCATCAGAGACTCAGGTTTTTTCCATGTTTTCGCTTTGCTGTCCACAGCATCAACTTTATTCTAAAGCTATTTCTACGTTTCTCATCCTCCTTCCTCAGACAACAAAAACTGTAACTGAGTTATGAGACCAATAGAATCATAGGAGGGGAAGATGAATGATACTGACATGCAGATCACAGCCAAAAATAGTGATGTAAGATGTGAGTGATGTAAGAAAAGTAAGTTATGTCAGTGTGGATTTTGGTTTCCAGAGACACATCAGCCAGTGTCAGCCTAGGTTTGTCTGGAAGCACAGCAGGGCTGGAGTGGCAGAAAATTCAGGCCTTCCTGGGCCCCACCAGAATAGTGCAAGCCTGTACTTGTAATAAGAATTCAGTGAGTGTCAGTTATCATCTCTAGAAAACTCTTGGTTTGTTAGAGGGTCCCAAAAAAGCTTGTAGAGATTTTAGAGCCTGATCCTGAATAAAATAAGAAATGGTTCTGGGTCTTAAGGAAGAGAGTCATGGTTAAAAAGGGTCAGTTTAAAGGCATGCACAGAAACCAAATGTGGCATTTAGAGGAGACTAGATGTGGGAGAGGGAAGACTGCAGGCAATAAGGAGGAGATTAGGTTGATTGTAGATGGGGTCTACTAAGGGAGGAAGAGGGTTCAGCAACAGAGCCAGGCTTCAGAAAAACTGGGGTCTAAAGAATTAAGTCTGCTATCCTGTTCTCAACAGGTACTGGGAAGCCTACCCCCTGCTTTCTCAATCTTGCTATCCTCCTGATATCCTGGTTATGGCCACAACTTTCCACCAATGAGAGCTATTCTGAGACAAAATATGGTATCAATGGGCAACATTCAAGAATATGGTCTGGGTTTCATAAACTTTTACTCTCTAGAATTTAGCTCTATGGTCTTCACCAGAGTGGATATTTGTTACTGTTTTTATTGTTGTTGATAAGGATAAGGATAAGATGAACCCTTTTGGTCTTACTGGATGAGATTTTTATGATGAGTAGTGAAGGAAGACAATGAAATAACATCACTTGGGCCATATCATTATCTATATTGGGCTGAAAGCTGGGCCTGTGATCACATTCATCACTGGTGGAAAAGGTGGTTAGCCTCAGAGGAGAGTAGTATTAGGAAGGTTGAGGCAGGGGACTAAACCCTATCCAGGAAGTCAGTCAGAAGACTGATATCTATGGGGCTGAGTCTGAGGAAAGATGGGGTTCCCAGAAAGTCAAGATATTGTACTACCAGCCAAAGACGCAAGTGTGCTCAAAGCACTTGTAATCAAGCAGGTCTGAAATATAAACAGAAGGCTGGATTTTGCTTACTCCCTAGCCTCAAGCTGACTTTTATAGCCTTTGTTGTTTGTTCTGTATGGTTTAAAGGTCTGGCAATTTCTACTATAAGCAAACGTCCTGATGGGCAGAAGTTGAGTGGATTCATTTAATGGTTCAGGCTCAAAGTCATGATGATTAGAGGGCAGAATGGTATATCCTGAGATTGATGAAGGCCTTTGGGATCTCTGGAACATATAATTCAGAAGTTTGATCTTCTAGGGTTACTTGAGAGCTGTGACTATGCTGAGTCTTAACCCTTTCAAGCAGGATCCCCATACTTTAGTATGGATTAGGAAAAGGTATCCTGTCCTCTTGGTGATGCAAGCCCCAAATGAGGGTACAAAGCTTGTTGAGCAGAGTTCAGGCTTGATTTCAGACTCTAGTCATTGTTTTAGGTGGGCATTTTTATCTGGTGAGCAGCCTGCACAGCCATAAAGGATAGCTGCCCAAACTTTACAGAGTACATGAAGTTGACCATGATCAGTAGATTTTGGCAAATCTCAATGTGTGAGAGTATCAAGTTCATCAACAGAAAGTATTTTGATTAGCTAACTAATGAAAACAGAATTAGGAAGACTTATTTTCTGTCCAATCTTAGATGCAATGTTATTGTGCCCTGAGATCCTTGCTTTTTTTCACATTATCGTGTAAAATTGCTGTTTTAATTCAACTTGTTCAACTTTCTATATAAAAGGGTATATGTGCAAGAAAGGTTTGATTTCATTTTAGCAAACTAACATCTTAATACCTGTTACCAAGGTTGGGTCTTGGTTTTTCTTGTGTCTGGGATAGCCTCAATTTGGGATAGGTGGGATTTATATATGGAGGTGGGAATGCAAAGAGAATTTATGATCAGCTTAGAGCAAATATTGGTCTAGACTCAGTGTTAGAATGACTAACAGGAGGATTTTCCTGAAAAATTACTATTTCCTGTCACCAAAGGAAGTTAAAGGAGCTCTTTTTTAGATGAGGGGGTATTTTTACCTCTGCCTGGTGGTTTGGTTTTATTTTGCTTTTTTCTTTGCTTCTTCAGTTGTCTACTGTTGGATCAGTGAAATACCCATGTAACCCCTCTACCAAACTTAATAGAAGATTAATGTCTTCATTAGGTATAGTCACACTCCTCAGATTCAGAATCTGGAGACATAGCTGCAATTCCTGGGATTTAGTATGTTCCTTAGATGTCTGTTTGAAATTTTTAAAATTTCCCCCCCAGTTTTATTGAGATATAATTGATGTATAACATTATGTAACTTTAAGATGTACAACATGATGATTTGATACATGTATATATTGTGAAATGATCACCACATAAGATTAGTTAATATATCTGTCACTTCATATAATTATTTTTTTTGTGTGAGGTGAGAACATTTAAGATCTACCCTCTTAGCAACTTTCAAGTATCTAATACTATATTGTTAGCTGTAGTCACCATGCTGTACTTTAGATGACCAGAATTTATTTACCTTATAACTGAAAGTTTATACCCATTTGACCAACATCTCATTTTCCCCAACCCTCAACCCCTGGCAATCATCATGCTATTTTATTTCTATGGGTTTGACTTTTTAAGATTTCACATATAAGTGATATCATGAAGTATTTTTCTTTTTCTGACTTATTTTACTGAGCATAATGCCTTCAAAGGCCATCTGTGTTGTTGCAAAAGGTAGGATTCCCTTCTTTTTTATGGATAAATCATATTCCATTGCATACACACCACATTTTTCTTATCTATTCATATGTCAATGGAAACAAGTTGTTTTCATGTCTTGTCTATAGTGAATGATGCTGCAGTGAGCATGGGGGTGCAGATAGCTCCAAGATAGTGATTTAATTTCCTTGGGATATATATATATAGAAGAGGGATTGCTGGATCATATGGTAGTTCTATTTTTAATTTTTTGTCTAATTCTTTTTTATATCATTTAGATTTACAATCAGGTATGTCATGAGTGTAACCCCCAAGTTATAGAATCCAGTCCACTAATTAAAGATTCACTGATTGCATACTGTATTTTAGGCAGTACACTAAGAGCTGGAGTACAAAGTTGACCAAAAAGACAAAAGCAAGAAAAGAGACACTGCAATATGGTATTCATAGCCCTTTTTATAGGGTTCTGTAGTAGTGTGGGGTGGGGCACTGAGCCCAGTCCTGGGGAATTGGGAACCCTCTTTGAGAAAGTGAAGGTGTAAGACTTAGACAAATGAAGATGTGCAAACCTTAGAAACAAGAGAGAGCATGGCACATGCAAGGAGCTACGAGTAATTAGGGAGGGCCAGAGCATGGGTAGAAGGGATGTAGTGGTAGGAAATGGGGATTGGTAGGAAGGCAAAAACACTAGTTAGGAGGCTACTATAGTAATCGAGAGGAAAGATGATGGTATCTTGAACTAAGGTAATAACTGTGGGGATGGAGAGAAGTGACAAAAGACGTTAAGAATGTGGAACAAAGGGTTGGTATTTGATTTGAATATGAAGGGATGGGAGAGGGAAGTATCATGTATGGTGCCTAGGTTTCTGACTTGGGCATTTGAGTGAGATATTAGGGTTGTGACAAGAGGGGGAAATATGGGAAAGAGAGGAGTCTGGGAGCCTTCATTTCCTACTTGATAGCCTGCATGGTTATCCTTCCTAGTATTCCAGTCAGGTCTCCTAGAGATCTAGCATCCCCCTGAACTCAGACTATTGCAAAGTTCTGGAAATCTCATTTGTCTCCTTGACGGCTAGAATTGTGCCCCTAGAAACAAGCCCACAGTCCCCAACTCCATTGGTTGGAGACCTCTCCAATATGGACAGAATTCCTTGGATCACAGTTACAATACACTAGGACATCAGTGTAAATTCCTTTTGAGATCCCTCTCTGCAATGGTAAGTCTGACAAATATACCCCTGGTACTAACAGTCTTATGCCTGATGTTGCATGACCTTGACCTATGTCTTCACTCAGTTACTTTCTATTACCAGGCCAGCATCTCCAGTAATGAGTTTTTCCTTCCTTGGTAACCTAATATTGCC